CGGGGGGGGCATGTTGAAGCTTCGATTTGACCGATACATTACGGAGTGTATCCCTATACAGATCAATTTAATAACAAGTAAGCAGATTCATACCCCGCCCTTCTCTGCACATCTTCTAAGTTAAAACATCTCTCCATTGCAGTTTATTTAACAAGTCCATGCCGGAAGTACGTCTGCAGTACGCAGGCTAGGCGTTCTTGGACTCAGTGTATACAGCTATTTCGAGAAAGGTTCACGGAAAAAATGTGCACACGACAATCCCGAAAGGAGTATATGGGATATGTTCAATACACTGTTCCTGACACTGTAGCTGTCGAACCTACTTTTGTTGCTTTCCTTTAGCACTCACAGACATATGTCCATGACCTCTGCTGCCATTCTATCAAATTTCTTTGAAAAACAGTGAACTCAAAACCACCCGCAATACCTTTCGGGGTTGTCGCGTGCACTTTATCCGACAACCTTTCTCGAAATAGCTGTATTCATCGTGACAAGTGACACAAAAAACTGCATTAGTAATTTTATAAGGTATTATCTTACCTAGTTTTGCTTCCTGGTAAGTCCAGTTACCACTATTTATTTCTTACTTGATCTTTAAAACGGCTTAAAAGAATATTTATCCTCATTTTAAGTTTCAAGAAAACTGTTCTTGCTTGCTAACGCGAGTTGTACGTTGTTCTTCGTCTTAGTTTTTTTCTACCTTTGGTTAACAAATTCAGATATTGAAGTTAAGTGCAATTTTTCCCTTTTTCTTTTTTATTCTTTCTTTAACACAATGAAGCCTACTTAAGTGAAATGATAGAATATGTAACACTAAGATAGTACACATAATATAAACTGCAATTTCTCACATAGATGTTTGTTGCCCAGTGACAGCAGTTATTACCGTAGTGAAAACACACCCGCCTGCTGACCTGAACGTCTGCTACTGTGGGGTGACTACCCTCCAACCAGCCTGTAACATCAGTGTTACACCTTTGGACAGGTGGACATGAAGTTGGCATCCTTGTGCCGGCTGACCCTTCAAAACGAAACCATCCAGTGCCTATATCGTTATCACAATAACTGTTCCTTCCATAAGTTATCTTCCTATCAGCATTGTTCAGTCTCGTGTAATTTTGGCATTCTGAAATAAAAAAAAACAATAGTTAAAATGATCAAAACTTGAAAAAGCTGGAAAGCGTTGGATAACTTTGAGGTTAAAATGTTCTACAACGCTTGTTCCAAGCGGCGGGGAGCGAAGAGAAACGGCCGCTTTCGCAGGCTGACGCGAAAAAGAAAGCCTGCTTTGCCGCTTGCTTGCGCGTTCTTTTTCGTTCGTTTCGCTGGCCACCAGAAATGGAGAGCTTAGAAACCATATTTGTCAAGCGCCTGATACGCAGGCTACTGCAGTACTCAATTATAGCGCAAGCGATGAATTTTGCTCGTCGCGATGTCATTTATTTTCCCTGGGCTTTCAAGAGAAAATCTTTGTAGACTGCAACAGGATAGTTCTTTTTATATCCATCGAAAGGACATATTTTCAATGCGGAGAGTCTTGGCGATGCCACTATTTTTTTTTTTTAACCGGAACTTGTTTCTACACCACTTTTTGAATGGTTGTTTATTAAGGGTCATTAAATTGACAATAACCTAAAATCCGCTTTATCTGACTCCCTTTGGAAGCTCGACGCCAGGCATTCACACTGAGTAGAACCCCGATAACTCGAATTCCCCGCTAGCTCGAACTAAGTCCCATTTCCCTAAGGTTTCACCCTACTTTGTAGTCAAGTTTACTCGGTTGACTCCGCCCCACACGAACTGGGATAACGCGCACCACACTGCAAATGGATGAATGCTCTGCTACATACGATGAAGTAGGAAAATAGTAGGTTAAATAAAAATTTTATGCACAAAAACTGGTTCAGTTCATCACATTGACCTTTCGTCACAACATTGTCAAAGTGTTGTCGTAGATTTACGAGCACGAGCCCCAGGTGAATGGATCCACTACTGCGAAGCTTTGACAATGTAATGACCCAAGAGGATAGACGATTAAAAACAAAAAAACTGGTGTCAATTTGCTTCTCACCATACCAAAAGCTCGGAAAAAAGGATCAGGAAAAACATATATTTTACTTCTCAAAAAGAACTTACAAGGGAACCCGCGGTTAATACGGGAAACAGAAGGGACATGCCATGGTGTCCGTAAGTCCGGGTGTCCCTATTAGTGCATGGGCTCTCCGAAAAAAACGTCACAGACAAATGTTGTATTGATATTGAAGGCTAAGGCAGACAAGGAGGAAGAAGGGTAGGAACAATGACTGCGGCGAATTCGAAAAGCCAAGGAAGTGAAACTTGTGTAGCAGGAGGTGAAAAAAAAAAAAAATAAATAAATAAAAATAAATGGCTATGTATAGTACAGGGGTCAAACACGTACGGGAAGAACTGACTAGCTTAAAATCAAACATATCACGCTATTCTGCTAGCTACTTATACCCAAAGAAATCTGTCGTTGTTTGAACAGTGTGCAATGCCTAGAATTAGTACGTGATTGTGACAAGGAAAATAGATGGTAGCTACATCTTCCAAATGATGGTAACCGTGTGCCGGTTATGAGGCTTTAGCGGCGGGACTGGAGACAATCAGAAACGATTGAATAGTTTGACTGTAATTGAGAAATAAAGAGACAAGATTTCAATTCGACACATTGGTTCAGATCCGAACCCCCAAAAATAAATGGAAGGCAAAGTTGAATGATCTCTTAATATAAATAATAATATGAACCTAGTATATGGCCTCGCTCTCTACGAGTTCTCCGTAGCTCAAGTGGATAGAGCGCCCGCCCGGTGTTTGGGAGGTCATAGGTTCGAATTCTGCCTGGCACTCAAATTTTTCTTTGTCCCACGGTTGTGACATGCTGATCATTTCATTTTCACATTTGTTTCACCGAGCATAAAAATTACCATCTTTCATTTCTTTGAAACAAGCTTGTGGTCCTTTCCCATCTCAATCCCATGCTTCTATTTAAACCATTTTAGTTAGAAGGGTCTAACGACAAAGTGATCCATGCATGTTAGTTGGACCTTTCAAGTATGTAGCACCCCAGGTGACCATTCGCCTTCGCTGTACAACGAATTTACAACGCGCCATGTTCATATATTTCTTATAAGGAAGCTTCTTTGTCTCTCGTAAAAAGTGGATCAAGAACCCTGATCATGAGTCCATCCGATCTGTCCATGGCAGCTGATGTGTTCCTTGTCGTAACGTTTCAGTTCCTGACTCCTGTTTTCTTTGGTCAAGTCGCCTAAATATCGTACTCTTGCACTTTTCTGTGGAGTACTGGTCAGAAATCTATTTGTTATCTTCGGTGTTTCTTGGTGTTACGGAAACCGACACTTTTGTTTTGTTTTGTGGGTATTGATAAGTTTTCTTCTCTGCAACACCAAGAACTGACTACCATTATGCAGTACATTATTTCAGTGCATGACGTCTATAAAATTAGTCCGTTGAAGCCCAAACCGTTATCTTGAAGTCCAGAGATGCGAGAGACTAAAATAGTAATTAAAAGGCTGGTTTAGTCTTGTAGGTACGAAACGAGTACATGTATATCTTCACACGGTGGAACCTCCCGGTTCACACTACCCGTCTGGCCATATTTGGGGTTTAAGATTCGCGGGTGGTAGCTCGCGGCTGCTGTTTTTGTTTTCATTCATCCACTTACCTCTATTTTAGCTGAGAATTTTTGTCTTCAAAATTACAGTTTTTTGAAAATGAAATTCGATTATCAATAAGCAAAAGAGTTCTAAAAAGTCGTCTTTCTTCTCAAACGTGGGATTGTGATGTTTTAGGGTGCAATAAGCCTTGCGGTAAATCACGTCCCTCCGGAGCGTGGTCCAGCCGTACAAACGTAAACCTCAAACCGCAAACCTGACGTCAAGGTCCCGGTCAGGTGACTTCTTGACGTTCGCGGTTCTCGGGAAATGCTGAAAAACCTCAATCTTAAGAACCCTATTGTCTTAATTCTTTTATTTGTAACGGACGCCAGTTATACGTCGCCTAACCTCGGTCCCTCAACATGGCTCTGTTCTGCGCCTTATTACCCGCTCTTCCTACCTCAAACTCCCTTCTGCCGTTTACACCTTCTTTTCTCCCCGTTTCCAGTTATAATGCATACCAAACATGCAAAGGCAAAACAATGATTAACTGACAAACAGCATTTTATTTATTCACTACTGCGTCATACTACTAGACAGAAGTTAAACACGGTCTTTTCCAGTTGTCCAGAGGTAATTATATCTAAGATGGACATGTATCTTCTTTAATATTCTTAAAATGATCTTAATAGGTCCTCTCTCCATATCGCGTGTGCAATGATGACACGAGATGACGTCTTTTTACTGCTTAGACCTGAATTCATTTGGATTGATTCTTCATGAAAAATTAGGTAATCCCGTTGAAGTTTAAAAAAGAAAGCCCTCATTTGCACAAGAAAGGAAAAGCCTGAGGGATTCTGGCAGTAAGTAAAATTACGCCAACGTACAAGAGCAGGAGGTTATCAATGCCACCAAATTGTGCCTTTATTTTTCAATGAAACTCCTATTCTAATATAGTCCAAACATCAGGGCTCAACTTCGTGTGATCAACTATTGATATTGAGGTCACCCTCGGGACCACGAGTTAGTGTCCTTAGTGCAATAGGGAGGGATTTAGCGGCTGTTCGTATTGCCAGGGTGACCGTAATAGCAGGGTGTCCGCAATGCGAGAGTTGACTGTATCCCTAGTCCTTATATCCATTTCGCTTGCAATTTCACAGACTGCCTCCCTGGACCGATCAAAAAACGAGTAAGCAGTTTCATATCCCGCACTCTCCACATCTTAACTATTATGTCGTCCATCGTAGTTTATTTAGCAAATGCATGCCGTTGTTAGACTCAGTAATTAGCATTGATGTGTTCTTTAAGTTAACATAACATGTTTCGGAGTTTTTTCTAAGTTTTCTTTGACATGATTTTTTTTTTCTTGTTTTTGATCAAAATTTGCATGCAAGCGGACCAAGTCTCACGCCGCGGAAGGACTGGTTCCGAGTTAGACATTTTTTTTGAGAGATGTGTTAATGCTAGTTGCATCAAGAAGTTTTGTAACCCGCCTGATTTAAGTCATTTGTGAAACCTTCTGTGAAGAGTGTCATTATAAATTAGATCGCCATTACATAATAAAAATGTCTGCGTTATAGGCATTATAATCTGCAAAATGGCTTAAAAGTAGTACGTCGTCCTATCTCACTTTTTCTTTCTTTGCTAAAGTTATTATAAACAGATATTGATATTGAAGTTACAGTGTTAGTAGGGTCTCTTTTTAGATGCTTAATTGCTTTTACAATAAAGCCTACTTTAGTGAAATGATAGAATATGTTTACATATAGACTTTGTTTGCATTTCCGTCTAGTTAGTGCCACAGTAACGGAGATTACAAGTAGGTGTACCACTAAGGTAGTACACATAATATGAACCACAATTTCTCACTTTGATACTTGTTGAGTAATAACAGCAGCGGTAACCACTGCTAAAACACACCGTCCTGGTGACCTGACCGTCCGCTACGGTGGGGTGTCCTCCACTTAGCCAGCCGGTATAATAGGTACCACAACTATCGTAAGATGTACATGATGCTGCCATTCTTGTGCCGGCAGACCCCTGGAAACGGAACCATCCGGGGCCAAGACTGCTATCACAATAATAATTATAGTAGTAGTATCTCCTATACGAAGTCCTTCGGCTTCCGCTGTTGAGAATCCCGTAGTTCTGACATTCTGACACAAAAGAGGAGAAAGAACATCAGTCACTAGCAACGTTTCATTTAGTTGTACATCAGCTCGATCGTCCCATGTAAGGGAATCCAAGACAGTCTTGGATTCTGGATTCCACGCCATGAATTCCGGATTCCAGGTACTGGATTCCAGTCTTTGTCAATGGCACTTGGGTTCTGGATTTAAATCTTTAGAAGGATTACGGATTCCAAAGCCTAGGATTGTGGATTCCACAAGCAATTTCCCAGATTCTGGATTCCACCAGCAAAAATTTCTTGGATTCCGGAATCCGCATTCCCTTACACGGGGCGAGCTCGAGGTAAAAGAGGAGAACTTTTCATGTTCTAAATTCCCCAACCACATCCTCACTGTTGACCAACAACAACACAGGAAGAAAACACTATTGCCCATCAGCCCATCAGCAGTATATGTTAGGCATCGTCATAACTTGCGCTAGTAAACTGATGAGTTATCTCTGTTGCATACGACGTTAAATTTTGATACAGGAATACATGGATGCAAATACCGCCTTTAGCTTTGCCGAGTAATTACAGGTAACGATATCAATTTTGTAATCATGAAGCTAATTCAATCATTCAATACTGACATTTACAAAAACGTTCTGGCAACTAACAATTGATTATAAGCCTTTTGCAAACAAAGATTCGCTACTTTGAGATTTTTTTCTGGGCCAGTTCTATTGTCAAAAGACTGTTGACTGAAAGGTCTTTTCTTATAGCACTCTGCATAACCACTATAGTATATTTATACAAGGTCACTTATAATGAAAACGTAGTTTCTAAACGCATTGAGCAAGGATGCCCGATACAGCTTAAGGTTCAGCTATTCCCATCTTGCTCGGCATCATGACGTAAGCAATAATTAGCCATTTGAGCTATTTTTTTTTTTTGCAAGTAGCTAAAATTTACGTAAGGGTAAAAACAAACAAAGAAAAACAAAATACTGTATAACAAAGCAAAAAAGTCGATCGTTGAATCCATTATTTGACCAGTGACGAAAGGACGCGTAGCAGGGTCTTCATTATCCTACCCTGTTGCTCAGAAGATTTGTTTGGCGGGCACTATGCTGTGTCTCTACAATACGTCTCTACAGAACCGAAATCAAGAATACAGCTCGAAAGACTCCATAAGACTACCATCAAAACGGAAATGAACAAAGACAGGAAAATAAAAAAAAAAACACACACACACACACAACGATTATTTCATTGTTCGTGTACTTCTGGCTCAGAAACTTATTCAAGTGTATTTCCTAATATTATAGGTAATTAAATCTTATAATTCGCCTCGTTATTGTTGTTCGGTTTTTCATAGAGATAGTGACTGTTATCGCAGTTAATTAGCAAACTTGAGAAAGTCAACTCCCCTTAAAATAACAGTATAAATTGCACTAAAGTAGACTTGCCCACAAGTCGAGCCGAATACTGTGCCCTCTCAAGGCCGTTCCCTGCAGGACTTCATTAACAAACAAGGGTATTTCCCGTGACCACAAAGTGGTCGAAGGTCTCAAAAGCTTTCCGTTTAAACCGGCCAATGAATTTTAAACGTAAAACCTCGTTCAAGCAGCCAAGGTCAGCGCAAGGTGCATCACTCACTAGTGTACGGGTTTGGTAAATGAAAATCTTCCTACTTTTCCTAATTACCTGATGGTATATTGCAAGTTCTGCCATCTCCAATGTAAGAACTGTTACATGAACAATTAAAGGATCCCACTGTGTTTGTACAAAAAGCACGTGAACTGTGACAGTCATCAGTACCGCTAGCACACTCGTCAATATCTGGAAATAAACAAAATAACAATAAGTATAATCACGCCCATTTTGTTAGCAAAGAGGTAGCAGGAGACAAAGGAAACAGACTGAAATAACATACCGGTAAGCTTGATCAAAAACGGGTTTCAACAATCGTTGCACTTACTGGACAATAACCATTGCACTTACATTGTTTGAGTTTGCACTGTCTTGACAAGTTTTAATTTCATGGAAAAAGGAACGACGACAATAACATCTCATTTTTTTTTCTAAACTAAATCTATTTTTCCGTAGCATGTTTGCGCTTGACTAGAATGCAACCCCCCGATCTTGTGTGTGGTTGGCTGTTTCTCTTTTTTGGGTGCCCCGTAGACGATCTAGCCAGGACATTTTGACCTTCCTAACATTCCTATGGTTACTAAAATGGCGCTCCCAGATATATTTTTTGCAGGGACTTGTGTCCATTGCGCTCTCTCAGCCTTTGCAGCCAATCAATTCTCGTGGGTGCGTCACGTGCGTTTTTCTTTCGTTGCGTATCTGAAAATAGTATTTTCAGGACTTTTCGTCGCAAAAACGTTTCCCTTTCGTTGTAGAGCTGTGAACGTACTTAAGTAAGGCAAAGAAATTCTATTGGAACCAATCAGAACTGAACACTTTTTGGTGAAGACGAAGAGTCTGAAAGCATGCGACTAGAAATTCCCTTGAATTGAGGCGATACGTACTTTCACTATATGCAAACAAGGACCAAATGAAAATGAAATAGTCACATGATAAGCGCGTGCTTTATTTCGAGGGATGACTTTTAAGTAATGGTCCAGCTAAGAAGCAGGCAGAAAAGCAATAGCCCGCGGCAATAGCGTCAGTTATTTATCAGGCGCTTATTTCTCTAATCAAATTAAATCTGAATGCTCTGATTGGTCAATACAGCGAAAAGCGCGAAATTTGAATTTTAAAGTTGAATTAAGATAGCTTAAGACTCATTCGAACAACTTTTTATTTCGTCTATTGCTTTGTTATGTCGAAAAATATAACATAACTAAAATTTAAAAGATTTCTATGCGCCAAACCCGAGGAAGTTAAACTGATATGAAATTACACGAAGATGAGCACAGTGTTACATCAATCGGCGACGTTGGGAACAACATTTACGTCGGCTCTCACAAAAGAAATGTCAAAACCATGATCGTAAACAGCAGCAATTCACTCTCACGTGGCGAATCAGGCGAACGCGCCAATGTCGCGCGTTCATATTCGGCCACCATACAGAACAACAACAAGTACACAAAATCAAATCTAAATGTTATCTAAATGTTCTACTTTTGGAAAAAAAGATGATGTTGCCCAGATAGAAAAAATTCCTGCATGTTCGGATCATTGGGTTTCAGAAAAAGCTCTCCTACAGTTTTATCTGTTTTCATGGTTTTGATATTACTCTATAAAAATCCTTCTTACAATCTCTCTCGTCCTTGGAAAAAATAAAGGCAAGCTACAGTCATGCTCGCTAGATCTTCCGTACCAAGAGAAACTCAAACACCAGTGACTGCTATTTATGATACCTAAGCGGCTTCCGTCTCGGTATTCTTCGTCTCAGAACTCAAAGCCGGTACAAAATGCAAACGTGTCACAAATTTCAATTCGCTCATTTTAACTTAAGGTCCACGGCGAACTTCCATTTCGCTTGATAAAGCAGTCTAGAGAGAAAAAAAATCGAATGAGAGATGGGTAAAGATACACGGAACATGGAAGATTCGAAAAGGGCAAACACATGTATAACACACAATGCGCGCGGAGGTGCGAAAATCTATTGAATTCAGCTTACCTCAACCTCAAGTGTTCTACATCTCTTCGAGAAATAAATTCATCCTTGAAAAAACAACAAATCTTTCGCTTTCTCCTGTTATGCCCAGCTATACTCCAATTTCTAGTGCCACAATTATTCCGATCTCCTCCTGATCCGGCCTGACAACGAAAACAACTACGCCGGGCCCAAATTTCCACATGGCGACTCGGCATGTTGAGGACGGCAGCAAACCATGTTTAAGAGCATTTTGACGATCACTCCGATGATAAAATACAGTAAATTTGAGATAAAATATTCAATAAAGAAAAAATGCAGACTTTTCACGAAGAAATTGACGAGATTTCTTCGGGTAAAAGACAAATTTCCTAACATCTTAAGTGTCACACTAAGATGGGGTCACAACAAAGTCGCGCGTGTGTTGCACGTTTTCCGCTCTAACTTTTGATTGGCGCATAGAACAATGCTGAAACTTGGCCGTGAGGTATAAGACAGGGGAATGGGGAAAATAAAGCTTGGCGATTTTTGGATTTCGGCCAATCAGAACGCTTGATTTAATTGAAATTAATGATTAAAAGTTAGCACCTTTTAATCACTTTTGCCGTTCGCCTACCTCTTACACGGACCATTACTTAATAATAGGCCATTTATTTTATCAAGTTTTGTCTAGTGATTGCGTCATCTGCTCAGCCATGTGCAGGTCACTTAAATTTCCCAAATAAAACGTGTTTCTCGGTAGGCAGCTTGGAAATAAGTAATAATACAATTTTCCTGGATCTGCCTCTCGTAGAATTGAGATTTAACACACTCAGGCATATCGCCGAAAATAGAACCTGATAGGTGACGTGAAGGCTAAAACGATGTGTTACGTTTCATTTTCTGGGTTTCGCATTTTGCCTATTTTGTTTGTTCATTATGTAGCGCTGTTTTGTGAAGAGTTTGAATGGCCTGAGAAAACAGCCGAATTTTGCGACGCCACCACTTTTTTCCCCACGAAGTTACTTCTGAGAAACGAGCGCAGAATTTCCATACTGATGACGCGTCACTACCCAGATGTGAGTAGTGCTGCTGATTGGCTGAAGCAAATTTTCAGCCAAACAGATCTAGGTAGTGACGCATAATTAGGATGGAGTTCCTGAGCTCGTTTCTTCAACGCCATTTCGAGGGGAAACCAGTTGTAGCGTCTTGAAATGTCGGCTGTTTTCTTAGGCTAGAGTTTGAAAGGTTACTGCCAATTTTCGTGGACGCGCTGAAGTGCATCGTGTTGACGTTTATTTTTCTTTGCGAAGAGCTCTCCAAAGTTTCACATATCCAAAGAATTAGGAGTCGCGATAAAAGAACTTTGAATAATGCATTGATCCTGTCTCTACTATTTACCCATACTTTGTCACAAGAAAACACAAACTGCTAATTCTGTTATCCAACCGGGTTTATTAACTAAAACTCCCAACAAATCAAAGTTCACAATATGCTTCTCAGCTCCTTTATGATTACATCCTGATGACGTCACTACCTGTTTGGCTGAAAATTTGCTTCAACTAATCAGTAGCACTACTCACAGCTGGGTAGTGGCGCGTCATCAGGATAGAAATTCTGCGCTCGTTTCTCAGATGTCAGTTCGTGGGGAAAACAGTGGCGACGTCGCGAAGTTTCGGCTGTTTCCTCAGGCCATTCAAACTCCTCACAAAACAGCGCTCCACAATGAGCGAACAAAATAGGCAAAATGCGAATTAAACCCAGAAAATGAAACGTAACACACCGTTTTAGCCTTCACGTCACCTATCAGGTTCTATTTTCGACAATATATTACCCATTGCGGGCACTCCCTAATCTATGATAATAGTCCTAGTCATAACAGTCCCATCTGCGTACCCTCCTCGTTCCGAAACCAGCGCCCCAGACCCCGCACGCGAAAGACTGCTGCTTTCGGGCTTCATGGGTTATTTTCATTTAATGATCCTATCAGCTGGCTGCCTCGCTACTAATGGCTGTCTAATGGCTATACCAGGCAGCCAGTACTCTGAGTTAATTCCTATTTAACAAAGTATATGATTGTTTCTGTTGTTGGTTTCGTTGTTGTCTGACCTACCAAAAACCTTTTTCGTTTGTACTCGAGTATGAACAAGTTTATACAGGAGTCATTTACAATATCCCGTTCTTCTATGTCACCTTTAGAAAAAGATCAAAACGCCTTACCAGTGCATGTTCTTCCATCTCCTGAATATCCTGCTTTACATGCGCATGAATACGATCCAACAGTATTGTTACACACCGCATTGACGCCACAGCTATGGGCGTTGGAAGAACACTCGTCGATATCTGGGAAGATGTAGTGAAGCTTGGCGTAAAGATGAGAGATTTTGCATATGCCTGAGTGCAGTTAAGCGTAACTTTGATCAATTATTCAGCAGTTATTGGATTCGGCTTCCTTACTCTTACCCCCTTCCCCTCCCCTCCCCACCCCCCTCGAGACCTGCATAATTCTTCATATCACACAAAGCAGAATCAAACACTTTTTTATTAATTGAAGGTATTTCAAAACTTTAAATCATGCTTTTCTTCATCGATGTAAAGTTTCGTCTGCATAACATTTGCCTCTTCCTCGGAAAATTCAGGATATAAGGGCAAGTTTAGTCTAGCCGGAAAATATTTATCTTCATGGGCAGCTGTCATCGGTCGAGTGGTATGTTTGCTGTTTTGCTTTGCCGTTAGGGAGTAGTTCGGTTCTTTTTTTTTTTTTTTCTTCGCCATTTTCTCCAGCATTACCAAAACCGAACTACCAAGCCTTCGGCTATTCTTTTTTTTGATGAATAATTAACCGTTAAAATTGTTGGGAACCCAGGGGCAGTCAAGCCAGATTCCACACAAAACCGGATATTTTTTGGAACAGCCAATATATATATATTTTTAAACACGAACCGGCCTTTCGTCCACATGAAACCTATGAATCCTTTCACCGAAGCTGCATCTTTCTCAAACCGCGCTCCAGATAGGTTTAAGGCCTCGTCAATACGAATACGGTTGTGTAAAGAAATAGGCGGTTTCCGGATTCGTGTAGCAGGGGCCTCAGTCGAGTCAGGAGAAACGGCATAACTAACTGCCCCTAGGTCTCCGAGGATGTCTTAGTAGTCCCATCTCTGAGGATATCTGCAAACATCTTCCAAATTTGGTTAAAGGTAGCTGGCTATGAAAAATTAGCTGGGGGAACAAGCAATCAAAAACGCACAAGTGTTTTGAATTATCTACCTGATAGTTTACACTTGGTTGCTAAGGTCAAAGTATTCATTTTTCTTATTTTTCTGCGAAACAAGGCAGGTGACAGTGTTAAGGTTTTGTTTCACACCCCGTAGGAATTGCACCCTTCAGCCATTTTTTGACTTTATTGCCTTCTCAGAACCCGCCCACACGAACCGAATATTTTTGAGAACTGCCTTTATTGGCTTTTGGATTCGTGTGGACGCGGCCTCAGTTTACTTATTATCTATAAATATACCATTGCAGGTTTTTCCATCTCCTGTGTACCCGGCATTACACGAGCATGTGTATGAACCCGCGTTATTCTGGCAAACGGAATTGACGTCACAGGAATGGGAACCAGTGGTACATTCATCCAAGTCTAAAAGGGAAAATCACATAGTGAAGAGATTAAACACTCTTTACTCTTATCCTGTCTTAAAAGTTAAGAATTCCTTTCTTTTGTATATAGCTGTGTAACTAACTGTCGAGAGAAAATAACATATGGGATAAACGTGACTCGCAAAAAGGATCTTACAAAGCTTGCCCTGAGCTCATGTTTGTTGAATCATTTAATATGTAACTCAAAGTTAATATAGTTGAATGTCTTGGGGCACTATCTGCTAACTGAGGTTCATAAAACATAATTATTAATGATCTTGGTATGCCTAATACCTTTAAAACAAGTGTAGTTATAGCAGTTATGACAAGGCACATCATTCCAGGTGTAACCATGCTTGGCGCCAAGAGTGTGAACACAATCTTCGTTTTTCCAGTCGTTCGGTTGCTGTGGGGCCCAGAACCTAAAGCTATTTATTTCTTTGTTTGTCCACACAAAAGAGCCCTCCACACTTCGGTCATTGAGTCCGATCCAGGATCTCTCTCCGTTGGGACGGTGTTGAATATAGACGTTTTCATTCTGGTTGTGAACTGTTACCAAACTGGAACTCATCGTAGAACAGTTTGATACAGCAGTGAGCCACGAGCCACAAGTGCGACTTGTAAAGTAACAGTAGCCACTAAAATAGCTCCAACCTGGTTGGCAAATACCTGGGAAATAGATGCAACATTTGTGGAATTAAGATACCCAATTACCTCGGATAGTTATCACTCTATGTACCTTACGTTTGATAAACATAGATATATCGAGTGCCTACATTTAATAAGCTAGAGACACTTAAAAACTGCATGAAATCATACTAACAGTATATAAAGTGTACTAATTAATGCGCATCAAGTTAAAAAAGTGCTTCACAACGGCAACTCGCACCGAGGCGTCTTAAAAGAAATCCACTCTTGCAATGTCATCCACGCTTTAATGGGTGCTGGAATAAACCGGCTTAGGATTACCTTAAGCACCGCCTTTCAGGTTAATATTGTTGGTTAATATTAAGTTAGCTGTATCTATGTAAAAGAGTTCCTAGTCTAATAAGGATGTCGCCCTTTACCTGACAAGACAGTATATGATACGGAGAGAGGGTCGTACTTTGAGTCGTACAATTCCTTTGTACACAATCGCGCCCCTGTTGTATTGATGTACTAAAAATTCAAAATAAAATAAATAAAACAAAATGAACAAAAACAGATGATCATTTGTACATGTTTTAATTCACCAATCCTAAATTATCATGTCTTAGTCTAGACAAAAAATTAATTTGCTTCTGATTACTGTTGGTACCTTAAAATACAGTTCTATCGACTTTTAAAGCACTGAGTTAAGTCATTACGTCATTGAAACTGGTTTAAGTGCTCTTAACCTAACAATTATTATTATTATTATTATTATTATTATTATTATTATTTGAAAGTATACATTACTGCGAGAACCTCGATCGTCTGCGGAAAAATTTTGCGACGCGAACACAACGTTGTTTGTTTTATAGATTCTGCTCTTAAATGTTCAAAGTTGAGGCCATTTTGACACACCATTGGTCTTAGTCCACTGAAATCCCCCGGGAACAAAGAAGATATGACGCAAATTAAGGAACTATGACGTAAATTAAGGAAAACGTAACTTTAGATGCAAGGAAACATGTGTGGAGCCATGTTAGTTCAATCATTTTTTAGCACGTCTTTTTATCACCGAACCATTTCCTACACATTATAATCACTATTAGTTTACTGCCATGAAAGCAAGCTCAACAAGGATCACAAGCTCACGATACCGTTCTACATGTCCAAGTTTTAGCAGTCACTGACTCACCTCAACCCAAGCGGTTATGGAGTTGTGCATTGGATCCTGACCTCCCCCACTAGAGGTGTGATTCGCTGATACAAATACACTTGGGGCATTCTTGTACAATTTGGTAAAGGAAATATCCTAATAAAAGAACATACAATGAATTTCAAAATCGATGAAAAGAGCCGTCAAATTAACGTATGGTGAAAACGTGACAAAAAATAAAGCTAAGCGAGATACTTTTTATACTGACCTTGCAGAATGCGTTATTATTCCAGACTGCGGGCTTCTGAGAGTTTGCAAAATAAACTGAACTGTGTTCTGAGAACATGGGCTTGTCAAGTGACGAAAAAGCCAACCAGTTCTACGAAAAGAGAAAAAAAAGAAAAAGAAAAAGAAAAGAAAAGAAAAAGAAAAGAAAAGGAAAATGGAAAGAAAGAGAAAACTCGCTACATTATGTAATTTGGGACAATTCAACGCGCAACAAATATAATGCTGAGAAAGGACGTAAAAAGGCAAAAAATGAAGTATGCTACATACAACATAGATGTCCTCATGTGAGCCCGCGTAATTTTGCAGTTCTCTTAAACATATTTTAAAGGAAGATCGCGTGATATCCTCCAACCAAATACTGGCGGCGTCTCTCTTCAGTCCGGCATGGTGATGTGCAACGGTCACAAAAACTGAAGGCTCCTTTGGAAACTAAACCCACACAGACAAAATTACTTGTATCAACTTTTCTAAGCAAGCCATGTTGTGAATAAAAGTTTAAATCTATAACATTTTAAATAACTTATTTTATAATAATCAATTAAAACACTTCCTTGCTAGGTAGTAACAAAGACAAAGTGAAAAAGGCGTCTCGTTCTAGTTTTTCTTCAAGCAGGTAACGTCTCATAGGATTAGCTTAAAACACGAAGGCACTACGTTTAAATTGGGAATTGAGGTCCACACATCTGTATTTTGTCTGCATGTGTACTTTAAAAACAGTTGTCCGGTTTTCATGTGTTATGACCGTATAATAAAAAAAGTACCTGTCTGTTAGTTTTGAATTGGATGTACCATGAACCGAACTGTGAGCACACCCTCTAACATGGTGTGTATATTGCCGAAGCGAGACTTTTATTTTTGTGTGTGTATGTTGACGTATTGTAGTGCAGCATTTGATCCTTTTACAAAACAAACATAAATAAATAAATAAATAAGTAAAAATTCTACCAAGCGAAAACAAAACCAATGGCGAGGGTGACACAACAGAGCGAGGCTTCAGTTTAAGTGCGCATTTAAGAAACAATTATTTTCGTAAATGACGAGATAAGTACACTAAATCTATTAAATTATCCACAATAAACAGCTAAAAATAAATGTTTATTTACTAAGAAGGCTAAAAAATATCATGAGTGTTAAAAAGACATTAATTGTAACTCTAGTAACAGCATATATTACTTCAAAGACGTCGTAAAGTTTAGCGAAGGCACTCTGTTGGTGTCCATGGAGCTCAGGGACTTGACGAATTTGTATTTATTGAGATTAAAACAGAGCAGATAGATGCTGGTAGATAATTCCATAACTAATAGGTAAACGATTGAAATAACCAGTTTAAAACACTGTAGTGCGGCACTTAGAAATTGACAAATCTGAAACTAAGCCGCTGTACAAAATCAATATGACAGATACTGTCGTGACCTAATATAGGCATCTGAAGTAGAATTGAAAAGAAGATCATTGATTTCATAAACAAAAGAATAGGCCAGAGGTTCAGTTTAATAAGCCTGTCCTGGTAGCTGGTAGAATCCGTTCAACTCAAGTTTAACATAAATTTTGTAGCTCTTCATTGAAGACTTTCAACTTTAGAGATGTTTCCTATAGACTGAGGTGCCCAGATCTCACCAGCACAATTCAGGGGAGATCTGTCGAATGCAAGGTACAAAAGTCTTCTGGCGTCTGTCAGTGTCCAAATCGCGGCAGGTGTGTCTTCGAAGAAATCCTAATGTTCAGCAACACTGTACTTATGAGATAACATTGTTTATGTACTGGTTCCACGTAAGGTCACCAGTAACCGTTACTCCAAAATCTTTTTGCGAGGTTACAGGAGACAGAGCATCAAATCCAATTCAATTTTATAGTCGAAATAGACTCGGGTTTCGTTTGCGTGGAACGGATAAACTTCGCATTTAGAGCTATTCCACAGTGCATAAAGAAATGTACCGAATTTACGCTAATTAACCTCACGGCGCTTATTTGAGGGCAGTGCTTAATACCATAATAATACCGCTTAGTACCGTATTTACGCGACTAAGCGCCGCAGCGATTATTAAACTTCCTCGCCCCCAAATGCGGCGCTTATTCGAGAAATTACTGTGCAGATGTTAATTGGCAAGTTGTTATTACATTTAGGACAAAATATTATTACGTTTAGGACTTTATTACATTTAGGCCTTGGCCAACTTGGATGTAGAACTATAGTAATTAGGGACCTTAAGCATCGACGACGAAATGGGACGACGACGCCGACAGGAATTGAAGTGAATTTTTGCTGCGCGAACCAGGCCATGCGTAAAGTTGTCAAAACGTCGTCCAGCCTTCGTCGACGACGAAATTCAGGGAGGTTTGCCGTCGTCGCTAAAACGTAGGTATAAAACTATACTTTTTGCGCGTAAATCACCCTTTTTCTCCCTTGTCATTCAGTGCAACCGGGCAAAACTTTAACAAACCAAGGTAATAATAAATGAAGTAAAAGTACATTTTAGAGAAGTGGAAAAAATCGCTTACTGAAGGAAAACGCACTGTCTTGCATGTTGTTCCAGTCCACCACTGTGACATGCGCACCTCTCCACTGACCCCACCTTCTGGGGTTCCTTGATAAGCTATCCAGTCTATGGACACATTAGCACGGGACCTGCGCTCGTTGAAACCAGCCGCCATCACGCACGCAGTGAATTGTTCGTAGGTCACATCTTCAATCCACGACACGGCAGCATCGTGGACGTAATTCATGTCCCTTGTATCGATGTGATTGACAGTTACCTGCACTTGAACGGGTTTATCAGGGTAGAACACAAACGGTCGGAAACCAATTACTTCACAGTGAGAGTATCCCAAGGAAGGTATATGAGGCATGTGACGCCGGTCACGCTGAAATGGGAACCCTGCAAAGTAGTACAAAAACGCAAAGGTAAAGAAAAAAAAAACAAAAGAATGGGAGAGTTCGAGTTATCATGAGGCGATTTGTCTCGAGCTCCTCTTTAGACAAGATTATATATTTTTTTTAAGTCATAAACTGTTCACCTTACTAAATGACCTCAGTTTTTCACATTTTACGTTACTAAAACGACAAATTTTTTTGCTTCAATTAAATCGTGTCACGGTAAGATTTCCTCCGTGCTTTTGCTATAGAAATATGTTCAGAGATCAGCTTCGCTTTAATGACCAGTTTATACCTTTAAAACGATTTTCAACTGGTGCTGATGATAGAGATTCAGAAGATGTGATATCGATACGTTGTTAGTGAAGACTCTTTGACCTTTCTTTATTTCGGGGTTGTTAATTTGGGTGATTGAATTAAATGGCAATTGACACCATAAATTACGAGATCACTGATACCTTCACAGCTTCCAGGATGCTGCACAGTAAAGTTCAGCTGTAACAAACACATTTCCTGCTTAAAGAGACACTTGTTGTCATACGTCGTTCCGTTAGAAGAACAGATAGGCTCTTGATAAGATGGGCAACTGTCTATACACACACAGCGGGCATCGTATGGTCCAAAAGCTTTGCATAGACCATGATAATCACAGTGAACGCCATCTATACAAGGATCCAGGTCTGTGTAAAACAAAAGATGCCTGATTATCATTAATTTTGTGTGCATAATATATCTAACGGAAAGTGCTGATACCGAGATTTGGATTTGGTCTATAAGAGTATTAATCTAGAGTAGGGCTTGATTGTTGTTTTGTTGTTGTTGCTGTTTTTTTGCTTTTACATTAATTTCAACGAAGTTTTACCGAACATGGCGAGGGAGAGAAAGAGAAAAACAGTGAGGTGAATGATCGATGCTATCATTCTTGTTATCGGGAATTCATGTTGAGCTGACGCTTATAAATTAAACACCAATCTTCTGTCTAAAGGATCTGTTAGTGTTAACGAGACAAAGTGACAATATTAGTCTTAAAACTAGAGCCTAAATTAGCTAAGAAATAATTCAAGAGAAGTAGATTTTAAATTCTTCAAGTAAAAGGGGACAAGTGTATGGAACAAGTCCTACATGACTTATTGCGCTGAAACGGCATTACTTGACTGACATCAAAGCAGGAGGTCGTATGATTATTATTTTTTTTTTGCCGTGCACCATATGATCTTCTTTGAGTTTGTTTCATGAATGGTCGCAAAGTTATCACATTAGTGGTTACGTTTTTTATTACATTAAAGGTTAGAATGTTACCACATTAGTGGTTAACTTTTTTTATTACATTAGTGGTTAGTAATACATTAGTGGCCGATTATTACATTACTGGGTGATATACCTACCTCCAGTAATCAGATAATCGACTTTTATGGTATCCTTGCTCTTGGTTTCATAGACTCGAACACAAATCTCTGTTTTTGCGGTGGAAGTGTACTAAGGGTAGAAAATCGAGACTGCTAATAACATTATTACTCCAAAGCAGTGTTGAAAATTTTACTAAACAAACGATCAAAACGTAAAGGTGTTGAGAAACTTTGACGAAAACTGCACAGTTAACCACAGATATAAAAAGTTGTTTGAATGTTTAGGAATCAGTAAGAGGACTCGTAGCTGCTAAAAAAAAAATTGTTTTGGTTTGAACATTTTATTCATCCTCCAATTCCTTTGAACCGGTTATCACTGTCACTCCATCAAAAATGGAAATCGATTCTGTGTGATAAAGAAAGTCCAGAATCTGGGAAATGAAAGAAGATAAATAAATATATTCAAAAAACCTTTGCAAAGACTCAGGCCTTTGTGATATTTCCTGTTATGCGGAAATACTGATACAATTTTTTCCCCAAATTTACAGAACTTGATGTTGTTGTTCCTCAGAGGGGCACCAATATAGCGGTCAGAAACCAACAAAAATGTTTGTGTTTGGGATGGCACAATCTTAAAAAAAGGAGACAATTTTCTAACCCAAAACACAGTTTTCTAGGCCCTTCCAGATCCTTCAAATGCCGCGTCACGCAAAAAGTTATAAATTAACAGCGTAGTTTATCACTGTCAAAACTATAAAGAGCCCTTTCGAACAGACAGTTTGTAAAAATATGGGTCATGCTGCTCTATAACTGATGAATTTGTATTCATTTTGATGACGTCACGTGAAAACCACTAATAACAGATACTAGCGTGGCGTTAAATTTTGTGGAAAGATTTTCTTACACTTTCTGTCTTTCTTGTCAATCTGGGATTTCTTTTCTTTTATCACTGCATGGATTGATCATATGTATTAAGATTCAACGTTAAATTAATCTTTTGCTATCTGCAAGTTTGTAAAACAATTTTACCTCGACCCAAGCGGTGATTGTGTTACATCCAGACAAACGCGAATCGTTATTGATGCGTTTTGCCGTCACTATCACCACAGGAGGAGCATAGAATTCATCTGTAAAGTTGATATGCTGTCAAAGAAAGATATAGCTTGTTACAAACAACTTTTTTATTCAAGATAAATGGCAAAACATGAGAATTATAAATAAAATGAACAAAAGACTTAAACAAGCAAGTTTCGACTTGTTTCGCAGACTACTCTTGACCATGAATTAACACACAATGCAGAATATTTAGAACAACTTAAGGATTAGTTGTTTATTGGTTCTGTTAAAAAGGAACATCATCCTGTCTTCTAATTTTTTAATGGAAATAAATTTAAGTGCTCCGGCCATTTACCAACATAACAATTTACTTTCGTACCTGGCAAAAGGTTAGCTTGCTGAGATAACAAGTTATAATTCGTAAATAGGAGGCTGTCAGTTAATGTGAAGTTTCCAATACTGAGGTTTGTATAAGCCATCCAGTTCTGTAGCAATGAAATAAAAAATCATATTTTAGAAATTTGAAGCCGTTTTTGCCATATGATGTTACTTAATCAGGTGTCTGCTATTAAGCTGGGGGGGGTGGGGGGTTAGAAGCACGCCCCCTATAACTCAAAAACCGCATATGATAATATAGCTAGACCAGATAATTTGGTCATAATAAAGTGCTCAACATATCTAACATCTTGAGATAAACTGACCGACAAAATTATGTAGTGTGACTTCAGCTTGAATATAATAGAAAACACTTAAATGGGAAGGTGTCTGATTAAATTGCGAAGTAGGCTGACACTGATTAATGCCCTTAACAACAGAAGTGACAGGATGATGAACAGGAGGAACTGGAACTTTCAATCGGGCATGCATCTGTAAGAAATGAGAGCATTTCAATCCAGTTTCGTCGATGGAGTGTTTGAATTCAACTCAACTATCGTGTCATTAAGGGAAGGCTGAAGACACTTGTCCCACTAAAGAATATTTCTAAAAATTTCGTAGCGATAAGCCTTACCGATATTACAGATCTAGAGTCTATCTTGTTGTCAATTCAAATAAAACTAACTGAACACTGTACCTGAATTGCAGATCTTAAATAGACACCCTTAGGATATTTGAAGAATACATTTTCACCGTTTAATTGATTTTGAACAAGTTAAATGTATTTGTTTTGCTTATTTGTGTGTAGAAGAATATTCTGAAAGCAAACTTAATGTGCCAGCAATAAAATTCAGAGGGAAATGAACATTCTTGGAAAATTATCTCAACACTTCTGTACATTAATTTTCTTCAAAAACCTTGATTGCATTTTTACAATTTTCTCTTTAACAATTTTTTATCATTTACGCCAATCAGAAAATCTAGAAAAAAAGAAAGAAACGCATTAAAGTGAAATTCCAAATTTTGCAAAATATGGCTGTCAACAATCGGTGGCAGCGGACACTTTGACATTGGGGACAAATGTTTCCAGACAAGTTTTAGGAAGATTGCTAAGCTTGGTACTCATTAAGCATGAGCCTTAAGTTTGGAGCCTGGCAAAAGCCCCTTCCCCGCGGTCTGTATAACACTAAAGTTTTACGGAAGAAGGAACCTGATTTCAATTCATTTAAACGAGTACTAAAATATAGCTCATTAAATGGTTTAATTACTTATACCAAGGTTCAAGCTAGAAAGCGTTCCAGCTGACTTCCAAAGCAGTAAATGGTAACAGAAATATACCTGGGGAATGTATTTTTTTCTTCAATGTTTTACCAAATTCGAAATTACATATTAAAAAGAACTGGACTTAAAATTTTGGCATATTTATTTATTGCTATAACTTAATACGTAAGAACTTTACAAATCTATGATAACTTCGACCATTTTTCTTGTGATTATGATAAGCTTAAGAGCAAATAAGCGTCTTTGGGCAGCTCATTGCAGAAAAAATAATTGAATGGAAATCTTAAAAGATCTTTGAAAAGCAATGTAAAATTTCAAGCTCACAATAGCAATGCCTTTGTGAAGTCCGTCGAAAATCTTTACTTCCCTGAGGCATATTTTGAAACTGTCTTCGGTCAACTCCTCCACCCAGACTGCCATGGCGTCTTGAGGTCTCTCAGGAAACTGGTGACTTGGAGTTGCAAGTAAAGTTGGAGAGGTCAAAAAACGCTTTAAATTAAAAAAAAGAAAAAGAAAAAGAAAAAGAAAAAAGGATTAGTTAAAATTGAACAAGTAATAATATTACTATAACAATAATAATAATAATAATAGTATACTATTATTATAGTGCTAAAAATAAGGAGAAAAATTTTGCTGAATTACAAATAAAAGAGCACTGAAAATTCTAGACAGAGGAAAGTGACCAAAAAAAAAAAAAAATGAGAGCTAGAATGTATTTCCGTTTGGTACCGGCACGCACACCGCGTTTGAAGAACAACGTTATCAAATTCTTTAACAAAGGAAACGCCAAAGATAATAAATCATACACGGTGACTGACTGCCAAATCTCTTTGTTTTGCCAACTTAATATTTCTAAATTAAGTTCATTTTAACTGAAAATTTACAACAATTTAAACAATGCTTGATGCGTTCCGTGTTATTGTTTTATAAACTAATAGATTAGATAGCAATGGGAAACTAACTTTACCATTATAAAGGCCAATGTTTCATTGCTTATATTTAAGACTTGTTGTATGTGAATGCAAGTGTCAGTGTATGACGGATTATATGGGTAGGTATAAGTGTATTTTATGAAGAGCACATCACTCTTCGGAATAGTGGGGGTTGGTGTTGAAAGGTTGGCTGGTTAAGTTTAATACACCCTGGAGTCCTACATAACCGTGCAAACGTCTTATGGTTGGAGGGGGCAGGGAAAGGTGTTACACGAGTTTTCGCTTTCTTTGTGGCTCGTATTGTCATTGCGAAAGTTCGTGAATTGGTAATTGCACGGATTAGTAGGTTATTCCACGCATAAAAAAAAAATCGATCAACTTAGAGCGTAGTGTCAACCAAAAGATTATTTGTGCTTAATATTTCTTTATTCAAATGCGTTGCAAATCGATCATTATGTGTCTGTTATATAATGTTAAAGAAGTTCTGTCGGATAGGAAAATGATTCTACAGAAGTGAACACACGTCCAGCGTTTGAACAAATAATTGCATGATGAAGGGTCAGGACAACGTTTTTCAACATCAAAGGAGGTACGCATTAATATGTTCTTTGCGTTTGAGCCAAAGAAAATGTTTGACAATAATATTATTTTAGAGTGTCATCTGTCAGGAATCCAAGAATGTCCTTTACTGCAAAACGAAATCGGATTTGGCTGTTCAACGGCAAGATGAAAGTTCCATTTGTGTGGCAAAGGCCGAGTGCGATTAGCAGGGAACCACACCAACAATCAACTTTTAATTGGCGAATCAAAACAACTTATCCTACCTTCTCCTTTAATACATTCAACTGCGCGTATGACTTAGCCGTAACACTGGGCGTCCCAAAAACAAACAATAAAAATGCAGCAAAAGAAAAAGGGAGAAGGATGCATTAACAAACTGAACTTGTTCATTCAATGGTTTTATCATAGGAAAAACTCTCTTTTAGTATACATCTTTCTGAGAACTCGAAGAAATGATACATTTCCAGACTATGATTAATAGAAATTTTCTCCAAATGAGTAGTAACGTTATGCATATCGTTATTGTGCTCATCTTCCAAAACCACTTTGTCTGACCGTTCTGGATTCTTCCTTTTTGCAATCAATCACAGTTACTTTGCACAGTGAACATATTATTTTCAAAATTAAACTAACCTGAGGAAAGTAGATCTTCTTACATTCTGTTCCGGTAGTCCAAGATTCCAAGGAAGTAGTTCCTAGCTGTGCCTTCGGAGGGGCAGATTGTAGGGCAATCCAGTTTATCTCAGCAGTTGTATTTGAGCCGTTGCTGTACTCGTAGATGCAAGCCCGGAATTGAGTTCTGTCTACTGATTCCACCCAAATAGCAGCACCATTACCACGGGTTTGGCTGTTTACTGAGTGTCCAGACGAGGCAAACACTTTCACTTGCTTTCCACCAGAGAACGGTTTAGCGAATGTGATTTTCTCACACGCGAACAACCCTGGGTTCCTGGTAGTTGTATTGATTTTTCCAGCTTTGAAAATGACTTCTGTAAAAGAATAACAAATTTTTAGGCTAAAATAGCCTCCTACTACCTCTGGGCTATTGCATTTGGTGGATTTATGAAAGGTTACACGCACTGAGCGTAGCTAGAGTCCTTAACGTTTGAGTATAAGTTGAGTTTCAATTTTGAAGCGTTTAACAGCAAAAAGTCACATGCTAATTCGGAATAAATTTAGACAGTTTTTAAACAGACTGAGCTATTGTTAGTCGCGTGAAGTTCTATTCATCGAAGAATAGGCAAATGTTGCGGATCTCTGAGCAGGAACAATAACCAGGAAAGGGAAATACCCAGGGGATTTCTCGATTGACACCAAATTAACGTCATTTTTCACTTATTTGCATTTTCACGATCGACGTTTTTGAATGGGCGCGTTTCTATAATGATTCAGGACCTTCCTATTTCCGTGCGTGCCCCACCTCCAATGCCTTCTACCTTACTCGAAATGAAACTTCCACATTATTTTGCCAAAGAAAATTGCCGACAACTATTAGCATGTGTGAGTGCATATTCTTAATAAACAAAAAAATATCCAATATACCTTGACTTCCTTCACTAAGAAGCACAGCAGTAAAAATTGCGTAAAGGACAAACGGAAGGTGTTGCTCTCCCACCATCTTGAATTAACTGAAGAAAGGCCGCTCCCTCTTGTGCAAATAATATACACTTTGTCCTCACGTGAAGGCATCGTTTCTGTTGCGTGGACAGTAAGGAGCAGTGAAGCACTAATTTACCTTAAATGGATATGATCTGCCGTGGTCCTAGCGTTGAGGTCGTGGAAATGGGGGAAACCACCTACCGGTAGAGACTCTGGTCGAGTGGATTTATTCTATTTGGCTAAAATTATAATCACCGTTGCTGAAAGCAAGTAAAGCTTATATGTTAACACCCGTGCGCTTCTTTATTTCACCCAATTGTCCCCCTCTGACTTTTTTGCCCTTTTGAAAAAAAAAAAGGAATTCATGAGACGTTTAGTGGGTAAGTATCTTACTGCCAATTATATTAATTTATATATTCCAGTCGCAGTAGTTGTTTACAGAAAAGCCAGTTGAAACTTAAAAACTTTACAAATGCTCATTTTGTTTCTTTACCTTTTTCTTTCCTTTGATAGAGAACTTTAACAGTCTATCATATATTTGGCTGACTTCTTTTATCAAATTCTCGTGATCAATTATTTTCATTGATTCAACCGAAATCATCGTTAGATAATTGAGCCGGGTTAAGTTCCACTCCTTGAAGTACCAGATCATGCAATGATCATTTAATTATTTGTAGTTCTGTTAGTTACACGAGCAAGTAGCAAACTGTCTACACCTTAAAATTGAAATCCATTCGTATGCTCTCCATAAAATAATTCAAATCAGCCCTGTCAAATTATAGCGTGAGTGAAGTGAATAGAAGGAAAGGCTTTTCTTACTGTCTGGATATAATTGCTTTGTTTTTTTGTTTTTTGTTTTTTAAATCCTTTTGTTTTTTGGGTTTAAGCTTAACAAGAAGGGATTGGGGGACAAGTCATTTGTACAATTTATGTTGTTCAGAAATGAATCATTAAAGCTAAACGATAAGGTTTTAAAGGAAGTTGTACCCTCAAAATTATTCTTCAATATTATTAAAATTATTTAAAAAAAAAAACTAAGTAACAAAATTAATTTTTATAACTTCAAGGTCCATCCCTGTCGACAGTTTTGCACAAAATCATCTTAAGCCACAGCTTACCCAGTGTGGCGACGGCCATCTGTCCTGTTTGGGTACGAGTTCAGGGTTATATGGAGTTTCAGCTTTACAAACAACTGATCTCTCGGATCACAAACAGTGTCATAGTACATAGTTTGCGTGCAGTGCCTGTTGCACTACGTAACAGAGAAAATGACCTGCAAGTTAAGTATTGCTCGGCAAAATGACTCAGCAGACAAGCATTACTTCAAGCCCATACAGCTTCTGCACGAATAACGTAATAGGTCTTCACTGAAATAAATTGCAAGGGTTCTTTTGTTAGGTCTTACAGTGATTCCAAGCTTTACAAAGAGAAGCAGCTAGATTCATAATGACACAAACTACAAATTGAGACAAACTGTTTTTATTGATCCATCATTTTAACAATGCCAAAAACTAATTAATTGTAAGATTGCAGCGACGGCTTAAGGGCAAGTTCAATAATGCCGATATGTCAACTTGTTACATACAATAAGTGTTTGTCAGTTCTATAAGCTATTGGAAAAGTGTTTCTGAACTATTGTCTAGTGTGAACTATTAAGCTAGGGAAGGAATTTAAACTTGGAACTTGTAAATACATATGGAAATTAAAAACTACTTTATTGCAGCTAGAGAGTAGTATGTTTGAATTTGTTTGTGCAATAACGGATTTGAATTAAGAATGTACTTGGGATTCGGATTTAAAGGTCTTTTTTTTGGCGGATTTTGGCGAATTAGCCAGAAACGGGATGCGCGGATCACTTATTATGTTTGTATTTAAAACATGAATGTTGAGCTGACTTTTCTAGGCCTTCCAGACATTTTAAGCTTAACTACAAGGCTCTTCCAACGGCTTCCGACTGTCCGTATGTTATATCTCAGTTTTAAGAAAAGAAAGACTTCCTGCCACATCTTATTCGCTTTTCTCCCTCTCTACATATATATACTCATTAAGAGTCGGAAATTCAAGGCCTGTTTCCCCAAGCACCCGTCATTCGGAATTCTCTAAGTTGCACTACACGTTGACTCTCTCGCTAAGAATTTAAGCAAAAAAGTCATAATCCACTTCTGAAACTCCTCGCCGCTGAGGATGATTATATGGATTCAGCAGCTCTTTTTCCAAGAACGCGCGTTCTAAAATCATACCTTCCCATCGCAATTACTGTCTGTAATTCAGCTAGTTTTCAAAAATAAGTGTGTGTTTCAACTAGATAATTTTTCTTTTTCTTTATTCATTTAATTAATTATCTCTTTATGTACTTTATAGAAACGTTGACATCTACCTGATTCTAGGCTTTCTGCAAATTGCTATCACTGCCCGCCGCGATATGCCATTTGCACTAAGAGGTCATGTGACATCGTGTTTATGAAAATGAAAGTTACATGATTTTGCCTTCGAAAAACGATTAGTGAGTCATATCTTAAACAAAATAATAGTGATTTGGTTTTTCAAACCCGCACCATTTTCTTCAAATGAGTAAGTTCTAGCTCGTCACGTGACCAAAATGTGATTTTTAAAATCAGGTATTATATCTTTCAGAACACAAATTTTGCACTTAAAGTTCAAGGGAAATGTTGAAAAGATGATATGGTAACGTTTACAGCACATCTGAGCGTTACTATCAAACGTTTAAGAAAAAATAAGCAAAAAATAGTTTTGGCCGCCATGTTGGAGGGCAAAAGTATGCCCTGCAACATGGCGGCCAATAAAAATCATACTGCTTTGTTGAAAAATCAAAGTGCCATAAAATATCTCCCTTAAATGCGTTCCCTCTCAAATTTCGGGAGTAAGATAATTTTTATGTGCTCTGTCAATTTTTGGCATCAGCATGATTCCAACGCATAGTTTAAAGGAAGCATTAGTCACTTGACCTCTTAGTGCGACTGGCCTATTAGCCTGTGCTATTTGCGGGTATTGTCAATCATGTAGGGTAATGGTATTTTAGCGAATTTTAAACATAATCTGTTTAATAGTTAGCTATAGTATGTTAATTTTAGTTTGTAAACCGCTCTGCAGCAATAAATAACTGAAGTTAAAAGTTGAAGTTGAAAGTTATTGTTGAACGAAAGACAAATCCACTAGTTAGAACGAGTATTTTGATCTGAAATTGATTCTTCTGCAGTTGGCTTTTGTTAGCTTTTGTTCAGTGGTGTGGGTTGTTTAGTTGTTGGAAATCAGATTGGATATATCATCATTCAGTGATCCGGCTTTTTAACCTAAAAATTCTTTTTTTTTCCATGCCAGGGAAATTATCAAAACAGGCAAGGCCCCAGTGACCGGCAATAAAACATTTCTTGGTGCATTGATGACGGCACGTGGTTTGAGAATTCTGCAACAACAGAGATTTTAATCTATATCTAGAACTTTGCTTAGTGTGATTTATGAAGAAAAGGAAACAGAAACTTTTAAAGCGATAATTCAACTCTGTAAAGAACAGAATGACAAAACAGACACATCGTAAGGGTCGTTTTATTTGTTTACATATAAAACTATAATCAAAACAAGCAAACTAATCCGCATGTTAAAGGTACGGCGGCTTTTCTTTGTTCTATTTTTAGTATAGACAATTGGGAAACAATATAACAAACCTGTGCACAACCCTCACGAACAGGCTAAATATCAATTATCAATATCCTACAAATTCATACCCCTTCAAGAAAAATGGGGAAGCTGGTTGATGTGTTATTATTCTGCAGAGATATAAACGGCGATAAATTAATATCAGATAGATGGAGCTGCTGGGACCTTCCATGACGTCACTCAAGATAACCTTCGTCTTGGATTCCACTGAAGTGCAAATTTATAATTATAATATTGTAGAAACAGACGGAGGTCATAATCGTCATAGTAGCTGCAGTTATACAGGCTATTTTAATCCCTGGTGGGCCTTTCTTACCCACCGGGAAAGCAACATTATATTAAGGGCCATCTTTCCAAAGAGAATTTAGCTCGGGAAAATTCCATGTATGCGTCATGTGAAAAGGAAGGCAAGCCTTATCTCGACAGCCCTTAAGGTAACTCGCTGAGCCCATATCAGGCGTCCTGCTGCCTTCTTTTTGACGCAAAATCATGTCCGCAACCCGGCTGAAAGCTGGGTATACAGGACATTGGACTATACGAGTTTAGGTCTAGTGATTTCAGAAGCACCTTAAGAAACTCGGAAAATTTTATTTTCGTCGGTGAGGTGAGATCCGAATTCTGTTTTACCGTTATTTATGCACTTATACACTTATACAGAATAAGGTCACCAACTTTGAAGACCGAGACAACAATATATACCTAGATTGATAAACGTAACGCACCCCCTTAAGAAGTGAAGTGAAAATACAGTCATTGTGTTTTGTAATTGTTAGCGCCTTCTACATGCGACACAGTGAAAAAAGGACGTTGGTGAGCCTGCACGGCTTTCAGCTCATGTGACTAGCCTTTTGTTCCCGTTGTTTACTTTCTGAGTGGGTACATTATACTATGGAGGTTTCTTAAGGTTGATTAAGCAAATACTATATTCGCCGCTTCCCTTATATTGAGAGGTCATGAAGCTGATCTGTTTCATGTTATCGTTAATAAAACTAGTAATGCGGAGGGTTTATAAAAGGGGTAAAAAAAATGACTGAAAAAGAATTTTAGAAGGACGCTTAGAGCAAAATTGGATCTATGTTTTTCTTCCCCATGGGCAATTTAAAGGCATGCCACGATCAGATATCGATCAAAACCCAGAGCAGGCCCGACTCGCCTAACCACAACTTGGTCGATGGCTATGCCCTACCGGGGACCGTGACGTCATTCAAAATGAACGTCGTCATGAATTCACTGCAAGTAGTGCAGATAAATTATCTTATCTTAACAGAATATGAATTAATCCTTAATTCATGCGTGAGTCCGAATAGTGAATACAATAAACATTCATTTTTTATTTGGTATTAT